CATTAAGTAAACCATTAATTAATAGTTTAAAAATTAGATTTTTAAATATTAATATTTATTCTTTAGTATTAATTTTTTTCAATTCAACTAAATAAAATATTTGTAGAATGAATTAGCATTTAGTTAACTTTTTATTTTAATGTTTGCTAGTTAAAATTAACCTAAGTATATTGATTTTGTTATTAATATTATTCATCTTTTAGGTTTACTTTATCATATATTTTTTTGATTTGAAAAAATATAAATTAAGTAACTTCATAATATTTTGGCTATTGCATTTTTAATAAATAAAATTCTGATTTTTAAATTATCTATATAAATGTATAATACTTCTCTTGATTTAAAATATAATATAAAAAAGGAAGTAATTTAATCAGTATTTGCTATATAAATTAATATTAGACTTGATCAATACTATCTGGAAACTCTATAATAATAAGGCAGATTCAAATTTACTAAATCAGTTCTCTCACCGAACTTTATGAATCTATCCCAATTCCAGATGCATAAAATCCAAATATATTGTTGCATAATTAATGTATAAAATAAATAATAATACTTCCGAATCTTTAGTAGGGATAATATCAATCTATAGAAAAGTATGAGAAATAATAAAGACAAAATCATAAAGATATTAGATCGATAGGAATAGATTTAACTCCTTTTTTATTAATTTCATTCATTAACACAATAAGTTTCACTAAGCTAAAAATAAAATTATTTTAAATGTATTAATGATGATACTTATTATATTTACTAATAAAAAAGACATATACTGGAATGATCAGCAAATTTTAAATTAATAAAGTTGCTAGATAAATTAGTAATAAAATTAATAAGCATTTCTGAATCTCAAAACAGTAATAATTTTACCTTAAGTTGAATAATCATTCAAATGTGATATACCTTAAGCTCCAAACTAGAAATATATCTATTAAAAGGATGGCAATATATTAGATATAAGTATAAGTGCTGAAAAGTTTAATCAATCAGAAATATTATTGCAAAAAAATTAGAAATTAATCAAGATTAAAAAGATACAAAAATAATTTAAGAAAATAAAATCAAAAGATCTAAGAGCAAGGAATTATGGTACCATACTGCTAAATTACTTCGAAGTAATTTTTTATAACTCAAAAAAAAATACTCTACACATCACTTCTTTGGTAATAGTATTGGATGATGAGAAGCAAAAAATAATTATCAAATGATCATCATGAATGTACTGTAATGTGTTTTTGTATAATAACAGATAATAAATGAAGAGA